TGATTTGCGTCAATGGCAGCAGCAGAAACCTACGGAGAGGCGGAGCTGCCGGTGGACCGCGTAAGGTGTATCAACCCCTGCCCCCTCCATTGCACCCAGGTTGAGATGGTAAAATCCTGTCAGGTGAACTTTTGAACTCTGAGGCGGCACTGATCCGGGGCAGAGACTTTTGGGGTGTCGGACTTTGGGACTTTGGGTGATTTTGGGGTTGCTGGCCTCAAGAGACTTTTGGGGTGTTGGACTTTTGGGGACCTTGGGTGATTTGTGGCTGGGGGGTGGGTCTTTGCTCATGTCTGGTTTATGAATCTGAGTTGTGGTGTTTTCCCACTTCAATGCTGATGTCGGTTACCTTGTGTTATTAAAGATTTGCTGCTATACCAAGGCTCTGTGCTTGCGAGAGGGGAAGAATTGCCTCTTTGAGGTACCCAGGGGTGTGTGTAAGATTTCCCAGGTCACTGGGTGGGGGCTCGAGCCGGCGTTGTATTATGTTGTTAGGAGGAGACCCCTAGATGGAGACCCCTAGATGGAGACCCCTAGATGGAGACCCCTAGATGGAGACCCCTAGATGGAGACCCCTAGATGGAGACCCCTAGATGGAGACCCCTAGATGGAGACCCCTAGATGGAGACCCCTAGATGGAGACCCCTAGATGGAGACCCCTAGATGGAGACCCCTAGATGGAGACCCCTAGATGGAGACCCCTAGATGGAGACCCCTAGATGGAGACCCCTAGATGGAGACCCCTAGATGGAGACCCCTAGATGGAGACCCCTAGATGGAGACCCCTAGATGGAGACCCCTAGATGGAGACCCCTAGATGGAGACCCCTAGATGGAGACCCCTAGATGGAGACCCCTAGATGGAGACCCCTAGATGGAGACCCCTAGATGGAGACCCCTAGATGGAGACCCCTAGATGGAGACCCCTAGATGGAGACCCCTAGATGGAGACCCCTAGATGGAGACCCCTAGATGGAGACCCCTAGATGGAGACCCCTAGATACTGAACCCGGCCCTTGCTGCAATTAAATTGTCCTGGCAGAAGGGTTACATATAGGAAACATGATGTGAGTTGTGGTGTCTCTGAACATATTCTAGGACAAATCTGGCTAGAGGAGGAAAAAATATATTTTAAAACTTTAGATGTGACGCTGTCTTATACTGCATATAGGCCCACATCTCCAGAGTACCATTGATTTTGATGAGACTATTGTGAAATAGGGTCTGTGCATTTGAATCAGTTTGTGTGACTGAATCTTTATAGCTGTTACTATTAGTAGATGCAACTGACTATAAGTAATAGATTTGGGGCTTTAATAATAAGCACCATGTAATTAAGTGAATTGAGTTGCTAAAACTGTATGCAGGTCTTGGAAAAATTAAAAGATTAGATTTTGGAATAATCCCATTAAAATGAAAAATAGAAAGCTAAGTTTTATATATAGTTGCTCTTTGGGGATGAGGTATGTGTCTTTGTTTATGAATAAGTACAAATTTAAACCCTATTCATATTTTATGGTAACATATTGACATAACATGATCAAAATATTATAAATTATTTCAAGTAATCTAAGGTTCATCCTTAGTTTTCCTTTTGTTCATTTTTTCTGTGGATCACAGATTTTCTCTTTTTCAATATGTGTTTTTCCAACTATGACTGTTCTAGAACGTAATCACCTGGAAGGGCAATAATAGACATTTTGAAGATATGTAAAGTCCTTACCCTGCTAGTGGCTCTTCATCAATGTAACTCTGCTCCTGTAGAGAATTGGTTGCAGGATAAGTATTGTTTCTATTTGTTGTTTCATTCATCCCTGTGTTTCACCAGTTTTACCTTTTGAGGGATAGGGTGGAAAGATATTGAAAGATATTAACCACTTTATTACTGTTGTGCTAATGTCCACACTATACCTTAAGTAGGAGGAATGTTGTGTAGTCTTTTCAGAAGACTGAATGAGCATAGAGTTGCCTGCACTGTACACTTCTATCTGCCAGGTAGTCCCCGACATCTAATAATAAATGTGCAGCCTGTTTAAATTCATATCACGTGTCACTTGTCCTTACAGTATAGCCAGAGAATTCTAGGCATGTCCTAGTAGAACATGCCTTCTTATGTATTGAATCTACCAGGCACATTCTAATATTCCATTAACCTCAATGGAATGTCAATAGAGAATGACTGCACTGTAGATATGGTAAAGGGTTAAGTGATTTATATGTGTTCAAATAATGTTTGAGTCTGATTCCTATTGTTCAATTCATAAAATAGTGTTCTTTCTGCTTCATGAAGCTGTTATGTGGGAGGCAAGTAACAATATTTGCTCAGCTTGAAAAAAGTAAGTGATTTATATGTGCTGATTGCATGGTAGTTGGATTTAGATAACAACATAGAGGCAAGCAGCAATTAAAAATGAACGTGGGGAAAACATCTTGTTTTCTCTGTAGACAGGCGGATTATATGACCACAGCTAAATTCAGTCAAACTGCTTCTGTACAGAAG